GATCTTCCTTTGCAGTCTTACGCATATCCCGAATGATAGAGTTTGCTTCTCTCAAGTTTGCCAGTTTTCCATCCGACAACGTGGAAGAAGCTATGCCAATTCGAGCAGCGTATTGAGGAGCACTCTGCAAAGATCGCCACTGCGCTTTCATCAAAAGCGCCCGAGCTTGCGAAGTTTCCGATGGGGTCATCGGATCTTTGTCACTGCGAGAGCCGTTTGATTGAATTGCCACAGGAGACAAAGAGTTGCAAAAATCTTCTTGCAAGACATGGATGGAGTAGGAAGTGAGTTGGCGAATTCGGCGTCCGCCATACACAAAATCACCCTTTTTCCAAGGACTCCATTGATACATACCTACCCTTTATCTTTTCTCTCAAGGCAATCCAAAACTTATTCTTGGGATTTCCTGCCATCAGAAAGTCATCTACTTGACTACCGATTCTGGCAAAAACCGACCCTTCAGGATCACGAAAAACCCATATGCATCGATCCATGGGATGAGGAATCCCACCGAGCTTTTGGAAATTCAAATCAACATCTTGCCAAAAGATGCGAGGAGCATTGGTAAGGCCATAAATGGCACTCAAGACACGTATCAACTGCCCTGGTTTTAGTCCAAGAGACACTGCAATCTCTGGAACTGCTTTCGTCCACAAGCGCCTATCTTCTTCACAATTAGCAGCTTGCAAAAAATGCAGATTTAGCATCGGCAGATTCAATCTCATGTTCATCGAAAGCAAAACACTGAAGGAGAAGGTTTCTCCCTGTGCGTGAAATGGTCGGTGCTGCTGTCTTAAGTTCTGGCTGACCTGTGATTGGATTTCTCTTCACAAGGTCTGGATGTTTAAACCCTAGAAGTACTACCCGAGCTTTAGCTTTACAACTACCGTCTGGCATCACTGAAGTTGGTTTACCTGGAGGCGGAGGTTCAGGAGGTTGAATCGGTTTCCAAGTAAGGACCCATCTCATGGGAATATGGCGTTCAGGATGGCTCAAAGCTTCTTTCAGTTCTTCTTTAGAGTGTACTGCGCGAAGTGCCATTGAACCCAAAACTTCAGCGACCTCTCTGGCTTTTGCTTCATCAAACAAAGGAACATGCTCTGGAGACAGTTGCTTGTAGGTAATCTCTACGTTTTTGTTCCCTTCCAAGACTCGCTTCACGTACAAAAACGGATTAGCATCAGCAATCTCTTCCGAAACGTCGAACTCAATCTGGAAGACCCATTGACGGTCCTTCTCGGGTCTCTGGAAGTCGTCCTGGATGAAGGACAGGAAATGAGCTTCATCTTCGCGTTCCTGAGTGATCATTTCATGAAGCTGCACTGTCTCTTGTTTCATCTTGACTTCCTCTTCCAGCAAGTGGATTCTCTCCAAAACCAGTTTCTGCGTCTCTTGATCCAAAAGATGAATGTTCCTCACTGTGTTTTCTGCTGTTTGAACTCCGGGTGAACATTCAACATGTTGTGGATCAGAATCTTCAAAAGTATACATCATTGGACTTTGTTCCAACACTTGGGCTGGAAGCTGCATCAATGGAGGAAGTCCTTCCTGCCTCCGGTTCTGGTTAATCGATACCAATTGTTCCCACCTGGCACGCAGAGCTGATACAGTGTCCAGTCGAGCTTTCTTCCGCTCAGTCTCCTCTGATTGGTATTCAGGATGATCTGGAGAAAAAGGCTCTTTTGAAACATCTGTGAAATTCTTCAGTCGTGAAAGAAGTTCAGTACGAGGTTTCGACAAAATCTCACCAGATCTCAGAATCTCAACCACTGTCTCTTGTTCAGTTGCTGGTCTTAGTTGTTCACGTGCACACCTATACAGTTTTGTTCCACAAAGAACCCAAATGATAGCCTTCCGCTTGTCTTCCAAAATTGTAGGCTCTATCAATGCTATTCGTCCTGGTCCAAAAAATCTTGCTTCTGGATTGTAGTTTTCATCCCGTTTTCGTGCTTTCAATGTCATAGTGCGCCAAATCATCACAAAGTCTCCAACCTGATAATCTATCAAAGGTCGAGGAGCAGAATTCCATAGTCGAGACACAGCTTGACGTGCAGATTCTTCACGGAAAAGTTCACCTGCTCGAGCACGCATGGATTGAAATTCTTTGAAATGTCTAGGACCAAAAAAGCTTCTCTCCATTCGCTTGCAACGGGTCATTCTTTCTCTCTAACTCATCGGGGTCATAACCATAGGCCCATTGCACCGGAGAAAAACCAGTAGAACGAACAGTGTGGTTTGCTGCATGTGGAGCTAGTGTGCCAACAATTGAAGGAGCTAGTAGAGGATGTTCTTGTCGTATTCGTTTCATAGTACGCTTGATGGTTCGTACCATAGCTTCCGTCTTCCCATGAATCCAATGTCCTTCCCCTGGAGAAGCTAACATACCGATTCCAGCTGTGTGCATGAATGTAGGGAAATAACCGTTGATGAGGCTTGACTGTGAGTCTACTACCACCCATTCTGGTCGAGGACGATGATGTAGCCAAACATCACAAAACGTGGAAATCAGTTTCTC